CAGGGCCCAGACAAGTTCTAAAGTGACCGCCAAACGTCAGATAGTCACATAAACAAAGCATTTCACTTGCAATCTATGCATAGCAAAGAGATTACGCCTGAGCTTGGCCCATAGGATAGCCTATGCATACAAGGGCTGGACGAATCTTAGAGTAACCGCCAGACGTCAGGTGGTCATCTGGACAAAGTATAACAGGTACGATGCAAGGAACAAGTAGCGTCTTACAGGGTCCTTCGTGTAGCGTCCCGTTGTGTGCAACTGGATACATGTATTCCGAAGACGACAGGGCAAATGGGCATGGCCATAGCCCGAAGGCCAGTCCACGTTTACAAGGGCCAGACAAATCCTAAAGTGACCGCCAAACAAAGTATTACACTACGCATAACGTCCTGCGACTTCTTATTGAGTAGGTGGCGTAGTGCTCTGGGTCTTCCTGCTAGCTAGAGGAAGGCTTTAATTTGGATTAGATACATTCGTTTTAGGATCCGAGGAAGGCTCTGAGCCTTGACTTTGTCCGAAGGTCAGCCAACGCGTGCATGGGCCAGGGAAATACTAAAGTAACTGCTGGAAATAAGATAACTACGAAAACAAAGTATTACAGAAGGCATTTGGTATGGCTGAGTACTTGTATTTGGTGAGAAGGAAAAGGGATTGGGCTTTGACTTGAATCACAGTCTAGTAAGGTGGGTAACAAAGCAACCGTCAATCATATAGGTAGTCAAGCAAACAGAGTATTACTTTGAGACCCCCTTGAAGGCAAAAGAACACATATTATTCGCTAACAGCAGGTAATAGTGGTTGCTGATCCGAATCGGATTTTAACTCACCTACGAGAAATAGTAGAGCCACCCGAAAACTACTCGTAGTCAAATGTACAAAATAAAAAGCTAAGACTATAACATGTGCCTAGTTCCTGTTTGTCCCTCCCTAATGCATCATTGAAACAGATTTTAGTGTTTTATGTCGTCCTTTTATGAATAACTTTTAGATTGTTCACCAAAGTGTGCAAAAGTTTTGCAAAACTGGCTACTGATCACACGGGTAGTAAAGCAGATAAAAAATTACAGTGAGTTCTTATTCCTCCCCCCCTTAAGAAGCTTTAATGAGGACCAGAATTACAACGTGAGGGGTGGGTCGGGATAAAGGAAAGGGTGAGCGATGAATTTTTTATTCACCCTTTCTAGCACAATGCTTCGACTGGATTTTCCACTTATAGACATGCTTCAACAACTCTTAGGTTTTACCCTTAACTATCGCTTTTGTCCTGATTTAAATCTTCGCATTTCTAGTTCTAGTTAGAAAGCAATAGAAGGCCTACTTTTCAATGTAATACCATTTTAATTGAAGCTACTTATATAGCCCATGCCAAACTTACCGTTTCACGAAGGTAGAGGAATGCTAAAGTTCACGTTGTGACCATAACGGCCATAGGAATACAACTGTATTGGATAAGGACATTGAGCTACGGAATCAGATCCTTCTGCCGCGTCATGAACGCAAACTTTGTGCCTTCGCCTAATGTTCGAAGCAACATGATGAATATGTTATTTAACGACACTACTTTATGCCTACAATTTGTCCCAATTCCAATGTATTCTAATTTTGGTGTAAAA